TCAGCTCACTGCAACTCCTGCTTCCCAGGTTCAAGCCATTCTCCTGCTTCAGCCTCCCAAGTAGCTGGGATTACAGGCTCACGCCCAGCTAATTTCTTGTGTTTTTAGTAGAGACAAACTCCATGTTGGTGAGGCTGGTCTCAAACTCACGACCTCAGGTGATCCGTCTGCCTTGGCCTCTCACAGTACTGAGATAACAGGCATGAGCCACTGCGCCTGGCCTTTTTTTTTCTTTTTTTGAGACGGAGTCTCATTCTGTTGCCTAGGCTGCAGTGCAGTGGCGTGATCTCGGCTCACTGCAACCTCCACCTCCCTGGTTCAAGCAATTCCCCTACCTCAGCCTCCCAAGTAGCTTGGATTACAGGAGCACATCACCAAGCCCGGCTAATTGTTTTTTTGTTTTTTTTTTTTTAGTAGAGATGGGGTTTCACCATGTTGGCCAGACCAGTCCCGAACTCCTGACTTCAGGCGATCCGCCCACGTTGGACTCTGAAAGTGCTGGGATTACAGGCATTAGCCACTGTACCCAGCCAACTGTCAATTCTAAGGGACTTGTAATTGACTGTATAAATAATCTTTGAGATAAGTCATAATGTTATTTTTCAACATAGAGACAGAAACCAGGCTATTTTTTCTTCTAGTCCTTAATTCCAACTCTCTTCTCCTTGAATGACCCTTTCATCCAGATTTTCTATAAAATTAATGGCGTCTTTTAAAATATTTTCTCATAAACTTCCTAATACAAAAGTAAGAACTATTATTACGTTGCTGTTCAGGTGCAGTGGCTCATGCCTGTGATCCTAGCAGTTTGGGAGGCCGAGGCAGGAGGATGGATTGCTTGAGGTCAAAAGTTCAAGACCAACCAGGCCAACATAGCAAAAACCTTTCTCTAAAATAAATAAATAAATAAATAAAAATAAAGAAGTATTATTTGCCTGGGTGTGGTGGCTCATGCCTGTAATCCCGGCACTTTGTGAGGCCAAGGTGGGTGGATCACCTGAGGTCAGGAGTTCAGACAAGCCTGGCCAATATGGTAAAACCCTGTCTCCACTAAAAATACAAAAAAATGGCCGGGTGCGGTGGCAGGCGCCTGTAGTCCCAGCTACTCAGGAGGCTGAGGCAGAATGGTGTGAACCCGGGAGGCAGAGCTTGCAGTGAGCCGAGATCGCGCCATTGCACTCCAGCCTGGGCGACAGAGCGAGACTCTGTCTCAAAACACACACACACACACACACACACACACACACACACACAAATTAGCTGAGCGTGGTGGTGGATGCCTGTAATCCCAGCCACTTGGGAGGCTGAGGCAGGAGAATTGCTTGAACCTGGAAGGCGGAGGTTGCAGTGAGCCGAGATCGTACTATCGCACTCTAGCTTGGGTGACAAGACGGAGACTCCATCTCAATTAAAAAAAAAAAAAAGAAGTATTATTACATTGCTAAGCTTTGCATTACCTTTTTTTTTTTTCTGTCTAGTGTTACCATTTTTCTTAGGTTTATATAGATTCAAACTTCAAAGTTGGCTATTTCAGCAGAATTAACAGAAATTAGTATATATTTAAAAGTCAGTGTTTGCTTTATTCATATGAAGAGTTGTCCTAATTCTGGGTTACTTTATTAGAATATAAAGGCCACGGTACTTAATATGTTTATGTAATATGGAAAGGGCATCATCCCATTTTATACCTAGGTAAGTACTAGGAGTACTTAACAAATATCAAACAGTCAGGTGTGGTGGCTCACACCTGTAATCCCAGCACTTTGGGAGGCCGATGCTGGCGGATCACTTGAGGTCAGGAGTTCAAGACCAGCCTGGCCAACATGGTGAAACCCCGTCTCCACTAAAAATACAAAAATTAGTCAGACATGGTGGCGGGTACCTGTAATCCCAGCCACTTGGGAGGCTGAGGCACAGAGAATTGCTTGAACCTGGGAGGCGGAGGTTGCAGTCAGCTGAGATCATGCCTGAACTCTGTCTGGACTCCAGACAAAGTAAGATTCCATCTCAAAAAACAAAAATAAAAACAAAACAAAATAAATATCAAACAAATAAATATCAAAGATGAGAATAAAGCCTAATTGGTGAAAATCTTCCCTACTAAAAGTCTATTCAATTATTTCTTGTGAAGAGTTCTTTTTCTTTTTGCATCAGTGGAATCTAAAAAATTTCTTTATGAACTGAGCAAAATTATACCAACTATCAAACATGAAACACTGGAATATGTGCTGAAGTAATGGCATTCTCCTGGCACTTGCAATCCTCTACTGAAGTATACCCATGCTTCTAAAGCAATTCCATTAATTTAGGATGTAAAATTCAATATAATATAGTTAAAATATGTTCTAGAGTGCATCTGATAAAGTTTGAAAACAGACTTGCAGAGCCTGTGACAGTGTGTATTTTCAGATGGAAAAACTGTGCCTAAGGTGTTGTTCAAATTATTCAAGAACTGATTGTGTTCTTAAAGATCTCCTGGATAAGCAAATACACAGGATGATAATTGGCTAAGTGATAATCACACCAATTAGGCTGCGGAGGCAGTGTCAGATTTTTAAGTTCAAGATCCTATTAACAGCCTAGCCTTACTCATTATACTTGTCAACTTGTCACTGGCAGAGGTTCTCTGTGTCCTTGGACAGGATTTGCATCTCTGCCTCACAGACAGGAAGTTTGGGAGACATCTGCTCAGTTGAGGATAAAAACTTTAATTTCACCTGGAATCAATTAGCTTATTTTTTTCAGATTGGCCACAGATACAGGTCTGCCAGTCCCATTCATTCATTTATTTCTCAAATGTTTGCTTCTCTTTTTCTAGTAATAAAGTAATATATATTTCCTGTTGCCAGTTTGAAAGATACGGAAAAGTGGAAAGGAAGCAATACAATTCACCCATAATCTCTCTCAATGAAAACTGCTGTTAATATTTTGGTGCCTTTCCTTGAATCATGTTGAATATACAATTTTAAATCCTGTTTTTCACCTTGAACACTTATGGTGAATATTTTTGTAGGTTATTAAAAGTTTGCAATTACAATATTTTTAAGGTTGACAAAATATTCTATAGGATGAATAAATTATACTTTTTAAAAAACAAAATATTCTCCTATATTGGCTACTAAAAAAAAAGAAAAAAATCCGATAAATAGTGATGCCATTAAAATCTTTCTTTCTTTCTTTTTTTCTTTCCCCTGTAGAGAGAAGGGCTCATGTTCTTGCCAGGGCTGGTCTCAAATTCCTGGACTCAAGAAATCCTCCCACCTGAGCCTCCCAAAGCATTAGGATTACAGTCATGAGCCACCGTGCCCAGCCTTTTTTTTTTTTTTTTTAAGGCTAGTTATGGAAAGCAATTGGAGTGGAGAAGAAACAAAGATACAAAGAAATCTGTAACTGGTTGTCATCAGTCTGTTGTAAACATCACTGGAGATGGTACTTGGGTGAATGACCATTTGAAAAAAGGTGGGGTGGCTTCCAAGATGGAAGCGATGGCTGGAGAACTTGGCTTGAGCTGGGGTACTTGGAATGGTGTCTTTTTGCCTCCTATCTGTGTGATTTTGGGACACAGCCTCTTTTTTATTAGACTAGTGAATTTTCAAATGCAGATAAGCAAGTCAATTTACAATGTATTTTTTTGGTCAGGCACTGTGGCTAACGACTGTAATCCCAGCTCCTTGGGAGGTCAAGGTGGGAGGAACTCTTGAGTCCAGGGGTTGGAGAGCAGTCTGGTCAACATAGGAAAACCTCATCTCCACTAAGAATAAATAAACAAATGCTACTACTACTAATCATTAGCTGAGTGTGGTGGCATGGGCCTGTAGTTCCCGCTAGTGGTGGGGCTGAGGCAGTAGGATCCCTTGAGCCCAGGAGGTCCAGGCTGCAGTGAGTTGATAGGGCCACTGCACTCCAGCTTGGGTCAGGGTGTGATCGGTATCTAAAAAACAAACATACAAACAAAAAAGCATTTCTTCAACTTAGTATTTAGCTGGTGTTAAAAACAAAAACATGACTTGATAATTTAAAAGGACTCTAGGCTGGGCGCAGTGACTCCAGCCTGTATCCCAGCGCTTTGGGAGGCCAAGGCAGTAGCATTGCTTGAGCCCAGGAGTTAGAAACCAGCCTCGGCAACATAGCGAGGCCTCATTTCTACAAAACCTAGAAAAATTAGCCAGCAGTAGTGGCGCACCCCTGTTGTCCCAGCTACTCAGGAGGCTGAGGCAGTAGAATCGCTTGAGACCAGAGGGTCGAGGCTGCAGTGAGCTATGATCACAACACTGCACTGCAGCCTTGGTGACAGAGCGAGACCCTGTCTCAAAACAAACAAACAAACAAAGTAAAAGGACTGTAAATTGTATTCCTAATGAAGTCCTGAATGGAGGGTCTGCTGCTTTTCTGGAAACCTGTGGATTGTTACCTCTACCCCTGCTCGTTTATTTCCACACCCCTTATTTCATTTTCTGTCCCTGGCAAAATGTTTGGTTCAGTGGAGTAAGGACAGACTTCAGTGCGGAGACTCCAGCTCTGCGGTGTTACGTGACCCCACTGTAGGTTCAGCACCTTGCTGATCTGAAATACTTATTCGGTAGTTTTAGGGCATAAGATCAAGGGTTCAGCACAACGGCTTGAGACACATATGCGACCCTCAGAGTGTGAGTCTGCGAGAATGCAAGCACTCTGCACATGTAGCTGACTTCTTCCCGACTGCACTGCGTGGCCCGCAGGTGAGCGCGGCCCCCAGCCTCGTAGCACCCCAGGTGTGCCGCCGCAGGTGCGCGCCCGCGCGGCTCCCCTCCGCGGAAGGGCGAGGCAGTAGCGCGGCGGGGCGGGGCCGGCCAGAGCGAACCGGCTCCAGCTCCCGGGCCGCGCCCAGGGCGGTCCGCTGGGCACTGCAAGTTCTTGGCGGCTTCCCCGGCCGGAGGAGGCGGCGGCGGCGGCGGCGCCAACAGGCTGAGCCCTCTGCGCTCTCCTTCTCCCGCCCTTGGGGGCCTGCTGGCGATTGGCTCCAGAGGAAGGGGTGGAGGCAGCCCCGGCCTGGCCACTGCGGTAGCGGCTTTGAGTGAGTGCGGGAGCTGCAGAGACCGAGACGCTGCGGCTGCCGCAGGAGGAGTTGCAGCCAAACTCGTCGCGACGCCCGGAGGGAGCGTCCCGGGAAGGAGAGGGAGAGGAGGCACTCGCTGAGGAGACGCCGCAGTAGAGGGCGCCTCCGGAGTCGCACCGAACCTGGGCATGCAGGCGACGCCCCCCAGGGGCCGCTCGCGGCTGGACGGCAGCGGGAGAAGTCGCGGAGCGGCGGTCGAGCCCGGCACGATGAGCGACGAGGGCAGCTCCAACTTCAGGCGGGTGGCGATCCGGCGGAAGTCCAACCCCTCCTACCTGCCGCCGGGGGTCCCCCGGCCCTGGAGCAGTCCTGCGTCGCACCTGGGACGTGCGGGGACGGCTGCCTTCAAGGGCCAGGTGCCCTCAGGCACCACAGGTAAGCGCCTCCGGGCGCGGGGGGAGGGTGGCCCCGGCGCGTAGGTGCGAGTGAGGGACGCTCTCAGCGCCCTGCAGGTGCGCCCTCTTCTCCCGCTGCGGAAGTAACTGGTTCGTGAGACTCGTCGTGGAAGGCTGCGCTCGGCCGCCCACTCCCTTAGCTATGCTGTCCCTTCCCCCAGAGGACCTTGGGCAAGAATCCGCCTACCGCTGAGCTTGCCCTGGAGGTCACTTCTCAGAGAATTCAGAAAGTAAAGGTATAATTCTTTCTTTCTCTCTAACTTTTGTTAGGAATTGGAAAGACCAGTTTTCTAGCTACTGAAGCTTAAGCTGCTTGGCTAAATTCCTGCTTTGGGCAGCCGTGGTGAAGGCCTAATAGGGTGAAGGGGAGGCTGATGTCCACCCAGGTCCGACAACTTAGGTGTGGTGAGCAAACCTCCTTAGTGCCTGGGTTTTCTTAAAGGGACGTTTGACTCCCAGGCTGTGTGTGAAAAGCGGCAAGGAAAGCTGTTCCTAGTATCAGAAAACGGAATCATTATTGCTGTTTTCGTGTTAATAGGTTCAGATGTCAGTAATGCGGTGTTGTGATTTCTGAATTCTCATCGAATAAGTCCTCAAGGTGATCTATTCAAGGCGATCTATTCAAGGCCAAATAATTTCCCCCGTCTTGTAAATGTGTTCCTTCTCCCCAGGCGAGTTTGAAACTAGGGATTTCTTTTTCCTTTGATTTGCAAAACTTCATTAAAACCCCCTCCCCTCCTTTATGCGGTAACCAGAGATGTCTGCTATGTAGACCAGCTTACGAGGCAAAACTTCATTTGAGCAGAAGAAATACAAATAATTCTAATTATTTTCACGCATTTCATTCTGATTAAGCAAATATGACGATTTAAATATGACAAATTTTAGAGCTTTTAAATGTTCCCTTTTAGTCCTGGTTCTGAAGTTGCAGTAGGCATAGAGCAGAAAAACATGATGAATTAAAAATATATAACTACACTAGATAAGGGCAGAAATTGTGAGGTGAGAACATATGTAAACAAGTAACTGAATTACAGTGCCTTCGGTCTTCATTTCCTCGTCTACAGAATGAGGACACTAGTGAAACAGTTTCTGAACTCTCTTCCAGTCTTAGGTGTGATTCACTCAAATTAATGGGAGGGTGTTGTTTTCTTCCTTATCAAATGAAAATGATTTGCTTTGGATCGAAGGTATTTATTTAATGGTTTTTCAAGTTATTTAATGTACAGAATTTGTTAATCATCAACTGTTTTCAATTGGAGGATAGTGGGCACCAAATTCCTTATTTTTGTGAGACAGAGTCTCACTCTGTCGCCCAGGCTGGAGTGCAGTGGCATGATCTCAGCTCACTGCAACCGCTGCCTCCTGGGTTCAAGCGATTTTCCTGCCTAAGCCTCCCGAGTGGCTGGGATTACAGACGTGCGCCACCATGCCCAACTAATTTTTCTGCTTTTAGTAGTTGCCCAGGCTGGTCTCGAACTCCTGACCTCAAGTGATCCGCCCGCCTCAGCCTCCCAAAGTGCTGGGATTACAGTTGTGAGTCACCGCTCCCAGCTTCAAATTGCTTATCATTTTACTTAAAATCACCTGGCTTAATTACAAACCCATTGAGTAGGTGAAAAGAGGAAGTGCCCTCTTAGCGGTAAGGATAAAAGGGAGTTGTGGCAGTCTACAAATCATTTCTACAAGGTGGCTCTGCTTTTTTTGTTTTCCATTCTCTCTCTCTCTCTTTTTTTTTTTTTTTTTTTGAGACGCAGTTTTGCTCTTGTCCTGCAGGCTGGAGTGCAGTGGCGCAATCTCGGCTCACTGCAACCTCTGCCTCCTGATTTCAAGATTCTCCTGCCTCAGCCTCCTGAGTCGCTAGGGTTACAGATGCCTGCCACCACGCACAGCTCATTTTTATACTTTTAGTAGAGACGAGGTTTCACCATGTTGGCCAGGCATTTTTTTTTTTTTAGAGACGGGTTGCTTGGCACGGGGGCTCACGCCTGTAATCCCAGCACTTTGAGAGACCGAGGGGGAGGATCGCTTGAGCCCAGGAGTTTGAGACCAGCCTGGGAACATTTCAAAACGCCGTCTCTACAAAAAATGACCCGGTGCAGGCTGAAGTGGGAGGATCCCTTGAGCTCAGGAGGTGGAGGCTGCAGTGAGCCATGATCGTTTCACTGTATTCCAGCCTGGGCAACAGAGTGAGACCTTATCTCAAACAGAGAGAGAGAGAGAGGGAGAGAGAGAGAAGGGGAGAGGGGAGTCAGAGAGAGATGGAGTCTCACTGTGTTGCCCAGGCTAAGGCTGGATTGCTATGGCTATTCGTAGGTACAATCGTAGCTCACTACAGCTTTGAACTTATGGGCTCAAAGCTATCCTTCTGCCTCAGTCTCCTAAGTTGATGAGTCTACAGGCACACACCAATTTTTTTTTTTTTTAAATTCAGAGAAAACCCAGAGCAGTTTTTTTTAAATGGAGAACCTAGCAATACCTTTTCTAGGTGTGTTACATTGTTTCAATATTGTTAACTGGCTGAAACTCAAAATTCTTGTTGCTATTTGCAGGGTCGAAAAGTAATTATCTTAATAGATTCAGCCGTTCCCCTTTCCATAATAAAATTTGTAGTATCTGTGGGAGAATGATCTAGTGTTTTGAAAAGTACTCTCAAACTACTGGATGACCACACCCTGTTCACTTTGGGAAGGGTAAAAACTATTTTAGAAAGTGCTTTCTTCTGTGACTCAAATCTGCCTCCCTATTAGTTCAATAGTCTCATTGAACTATTTATCATTAGATAATTCTGTTCTTCCCCCCTCATCAAAAAGTAAACCAGATTTAAATTACTGAAAAGTGCCAGTTCATTCTATAGCACCTAGAAAAATATTTATATATGAAAACCACAAAATTTAAACGCATTACAAAGTAGGCATTACTCAATTGAAACATTACTTTCCCTTTTAAAGAAGAAGCAACAAAAACTGAAAACTCAAGAACTTGCCAGATAATTGTGCTTAGCATTGTTGTGTCATGTTCTATGGTTTTAAACCCTGCTGTTTTTAGAGTTCTATGCTTTTTGGCCAAAATAATAAACTGTACCAACTGTATCCTTCGTGTATTCCTGAATGTGAAGCTCCCCATTTAAGTGAAACAGAAAGGTGAAGCAAGTAAGACATAGGCATTGGGGTTATATAGCACTCACGTTCTAGTCCCTCTTACATAGCTAGCTGTGTGAATTGGACTGTCTCTTAATTTCTAAGTTTCTTCATCTGGACAATGGAGATAACAGTCCTTATAATCAGTGCAGTGGTGCACTCCTGTAGTCTCAGCTACTTGGGAGGCTGAGACAGGAGAATCACTACAAGCCATGAGATTGAGGATGAAGTATGCTATGATTGAACCCATGAATAGCTACTGCACTCCAGCCTGAGCAACATAGCAATACACCATCTCTTTTTTTTTTTTTTTTTGAGACTGAGTCTTAATCGTTCGCCAGGCTGGGAGTGCAGTGGCATGATTCTTGGCTCACTGCAACCTTCCACTCCGGTTCAAGAGATTCTCCTGCCAACGCCTCCCAAGTAGCTGGGACTACAGGCAACATGCCACCACACCCAGCTAATTTTATATTTTTGAGAGACGGGTTTCACCATGTTGCTAGGATGGTCTTGATCTTCTTGACCTGTGTACCTCCCGCTTAGCCTCGCACAAGTGCTGGGATTACAGGTGTAAGCCACTGTGCCTGCAAGACTCTCCTCTTAAACACACACACACACACACACACCAACCACACACACCCCAACAAACAGTATTAATAAGACTGCTGCAGGATTAAGTAAAATGTATAGGTAATGTCTGACACAAAGCAAACAGTATACATCACAAGGATGCATTATTTTACTCATCTCTGTGTCCCAAAAGTCTACCACTAGTATCTGGCATATACGGAGACATTTCTATAGATACTTAAATAAATTATGAATTAATGGCTGTCCCCCATGATGTTCATAATAGCACTGTTCATTGAATGCATTTCTTTTCTTTTTCTTTTTTTGAGACAGAGTTTCACCTGTTGCCCAGATTGGAGTGCAATGGCACGATGTTGGCTCACTGCAACCTCCACCCCGGGGTGGCAGCAATTCTCCTGCCTCAGCCTCCCAAGTAGCTGGGATTACCAGGGCGCACTGCCACCATGCCCAGCTAATTTTCATACTTTGATAGAGACAGGGTCTCACCACAGTGGCCAGCTGGTCTCCAGAGACTCCTGCCTCCAGATATCCACGGCTGCCTCGGCCTCCTAAAGTACTGGATTATAGGCTTAGCCACCGCAACTGGCTATTGAAGCATTTTTCTTTTCTTTTTTTTTTTTTTGAGACAGAGTTTCGCTCTTGTTGCCCAGGCTGGAGTGCAATGGCCTGATCTCGGCTCACAGTAACCTCCGCCTCCCGGGTCCAAGTGATTCTCCTGCCTCTGCCTCCCAAGTAGCTGGGTTCACAGGCATGTGCCACCACGCCCGGCTCATTTTGTATTTTTGGTAGAGACAGGGTTTCTCCATGTTGGTCATGCTGGTCCTGAACTCCTGACCTCAGGTGATCCGCCCGCCTCGGCCTCCCAAAGTGCTGGGATTACAGGCGTGAGCCACTGCACCCGGCCTATTGAATGCATTTTCTACACTGAGAACTGTATTGTGGTACACACAAATATGCTTGTGTATAAATTTATAGCAATTCTACCAAGTAGGTAACATTATGCTCATTTTACAACTGAAAATTTGAGACAGTTTTACTAACTGGCTTGGCATTATTAACTGGTAGTTGATTAGCCAGGATTCAAACATAAGTGCGTTTGGCATCAGAAGCAGTGCTCTGACCATATTCATAAAGTAGTCTCTTTGGAAAATGAGTTCGCTTCTTTAGTCCTAGTCCTAAGCAAGTTGCTAAGAAGTGCTATGAGAGCAAAGAGGGTAAAAGACACCAGGTTGTCTTTAGGCATGGAGTA